CCGAACCGAACCGAATAAAGAAGTTAAGTCAAGACTGGATTTTTTCTGAACGATATAAACATGGTCCTTCGAGCCGGATGATAGTAGCGACTTAGTGGTATTTTAGCGGATAATGTTGTCTGGATGTGAAGCTACGGCATTTCTGATGGAATTTGCAACCTAGTATAATGGAGCGTTTACTCAAGAAAAGGGACGGTGTAAAATATCAAGTCGACTGTATTTACGATTACGTGAGGAGTATAAGTACCGAAGATGGTGAGGTGAAAACTACGGCGAAAATTTTGGCAAGTAAGCAAGCGGCTCTTAACGCTTACAAGGAGAAATATGATCAATACTTTGAAGATTTACTGGTGGAATCTACGGTGGATCAATTGGAAGAAATTCATTTATCTTACAAGCTGTTTCAAGACAAATGTACCGGCACTGAAGAAATTATTGAAATAATTCAGGATAACTTCTTCTGTGAGGGAGCAGCAAAATCGTCAGCGGATAATACAGCGAGTTTGGATTCAACACTATTACAAGCCGTAAAAGAAATCGTCACAAATCAAGTTGAATCTTTACAACGCATCACGGCGCAACAACAAAAGTCTTTCGAGGATTTGTTATCATCTTCTAAAAGTGTGTCTTCAAGTGAAGCAAAGTTGCCTCAACTCGAATTGAAGAGTTTTTATGGTGGTTACGAGCAGTGGGTGGAATTTTTCGACAGTTTCAAGTGTGCAGTGGATTCGAAGCCGAATTTGGCTCCGGTTCAAAAGCTGCAATATCTCAAGTCTTGTCTCAAGGGAGAGGCCGCAACTCTGGTGCGAAATTTAAATCTAAATGATGCTAATTATGCTGTTGCTCTATCGCTTTTGAAAGGAAGATACGAAAATAAGAAGAATATTCGAGAAGCACATTTTGATGCAATATTCAATGTTTCAAGTGTCAGCAAGAAAAGTGCTTATAATCTACGCAAGCTGATAAACAACGTGAATGAAAATCTTCAGGCGTTAAGGAATTTGGATGAGCCAATCAATCAATGGGATTCTTGGATTGTTTACTTTTTGAAAAAGAAGCTAGACAATGAAACAAGATTTGAATGGGAAAAACACACAGCAAGCAACGTTAATCCTACATATAAGGAAATGTATAATTTTATTCGTGATCATGCTTATGCACTTGAGGCGTCTGAAGAGAAGTCCAAGAGAGTTAACAAGCCTAATCAATTATCGTCTGCTTCTACTGCTACTGCTTCAAGTAAATGCTTCAATGTTACTCAAAGTGAAGTGTGTTTTTTGTGCAAAGGAGATGATCGACTGGCTTATTGTCCGGAATACACATGTCTGGATTCTCGTCAAAGGAAAGCTAAAGTGCTGAGTTTGAAGTTGTGTGTGAACTGCTTCTCGCGGCAGCATTTTGTGAATCAATGCCCGAAGCCTGCAAGTTGCAAAACTTGTAGGAAGAAACATCATCCTACACTTCATTATGACGACATACCTAAACATGGCGTGGGGGCTTCAATTGACAGGAGTGATAACTTTGTTGTGGCAAGTACTTCAAACGTTTTTACTTGTGTGGATCAGCCTGCTATTTTTTGCAAAGAGGTTTTACTTGCAACGSCAATTGTTAATGTTTATACGGAGGACGGTGATCAAGTTTTGTGCAGAGCATTGTTGGATCCCGGATCCCAATCAAGCTTCATCACGCAAGGTTGTGTGCAGCGTTTACGTCTTAAAACGTCTATTAATGGAGGTGTTAATGTCAGTGGTATCGGAGGAGTTTGCAATGGTACGGTAAAGCGTAATGTTGTTTTACGATTATCGCCTGTGTCTTCAAGTTCTTGTGTTTTGGTGAACGCTTTGGTTATCGATAGGATCGCATCRACTATTCCTAGGCGTTCTATTTCTGGAACTGATTGGCCTCAGTTGGACAGTCTTGAGTTAGCGGATCCACATTTTCTCACACCTGGTCCAATTGACATTCTACTTGGAGGTGATATTTATGCTCGTCTTATGGTTGGCGATGTTGGAGTGTTAAAGCGTCCTGATGGAGAAATGCTTGCTCAGTTATCGATTTTTGGATGGGTTGTCACTGGCTCAATTGTGTCGCCGTGTCTTAATGTTAATTGTGATAGCACTCTGGCTCACTTAGTCAAACAGATGATCTTTTGAAGAGGTTCTGGGAAATCGAGGAGATTYCTTCAGCCACAAATCTATCTCTGGAGGAGAAAAGGTGTGAACAGCATTTCAAGGCAACAACTTATCGTGAAGATGGTAGATATGTGGTATCATTACCCTTCAAGGCTRATTGTAGTCTCGGGGAAAGCCGATCTGTAGCTTTAAAGAGGCTTGAGCAGACTGAAAGGCGATTAGCACGTGATCCCGGGCTYAAGGAAAGCTACTCTGCGGCTATGAAAGATTATTTTGATCAAGGCCATGCCGAGAAGGTGCCAGATGAAGAATTAAACGCTGATCAAGTTTACTACATGCCTCATCATGCGGTGATAAGGGAATCAAGTTCTACAACAAAAGTAAGAGTTGTGTTTGATGCGTCAGCAAAAACGTCAAATGGAGTTTCTCTCAATGAATGTCTGATGGTCGGTCCTAAAGTTCAAGATGATTTATTTAAGGAATAAAAGACGAAATTCCGTGTTTGATACTCTGATCAAAACACGCGGGATGTAGGAAGAGCACGAGAGAAGCGTAGGAAACCACGACGCGTAGCGGAGTGGTTTCCAGCTTTTCGAGTGCTCTCCCTACATCCCAAGTGTTTTGATCAGAGTATCAAACACGGAATTTCGTCTTTTATTTCTTTTCTAAAATTAAAAGAATTCTGACTTTG